TCTACATTCATAAAAATGACTTCTTCTCAGAAGTGTTAATGAATATATTTACATATTTATGACTCTTGTTTTATAGCATCAAAATTTATTTTAATTTTAGCTGTTCACTGCTCACAAGTTTTGTTCGTTACATAATTCAGACAAACTTTTCACTTAGAAAAACAGTAGTATACCAAAATACTTGTAATCAGAAACTTAACACAATTCAAAAATAATAATTTTTTTTTAATAATCAAATTTTTCTGCTATGAATTTTTTCATAAAAGAGACTATTTTTTTTCAAGCAAAATAGTATAGGGAAATGTGAAGAATATGAAAACTATCAGTTTTGGTTGAATGCCAGATAACAGCACAATATATCTTAATATATCTTAAAGTTCTTATAAATAATAAAAATGTCTGCAAATCTTGAACTTACCCAACAACCCAGTAGGTTAACATCCCACTGATTTTATTATTGCCAGGACTTTGCAAAAAACAATTAAACAAAACTCCATGTTCCCGAATATAACCAGATGCTTTACTACTTTTACAAGAAGATGCCTTCTTACGGTTCTGAATAAAAAGAAAAATTGGAATAAAAAGAAAAATTTTATAAAGAATTTATATATGACGAGTTCAGTATTCCCATCACCAAATTTAAGAAATCATCAAGACAAATTTAAAATCTAAATTACAGTATTTGAATTGGAGAAACATTTATTAGAAAATATATTCTGTTTAAATACTGTTGTAGAGTAGTTTTCACAGTGGAGGCTTGTATTTCAATAAGTCGTCCTAAATTAGGTTCGATGTACAAAACGTTAGGAACTTGGAAATAAGAGTTAATGACGCAGCAATCTAGTTGTAATGGTTGGTACTTCAATGTCCGATATCGACTGACTCGCTCAACACCACTCAGCCCAACTGTCGGCCACTACTACTACTACTTATTATGTGTGGGAGAGTCTATTAATAATAGAATAGGTACGTCAGGTATAAAAAATATAAACTGCATATTTCAGCTTATATTTTTTCCTGTTACCCACAGCTTAACTCTTCAGACACAGATGTCACTTTGTACTAAAAGGCTTCCCTTTTAGTTTAACTAAAAACATTCTGCCCAAGAATTAACAATATCCCAGAACACAATTCTTCATGTCATTATCTAATATTAACCCTACTCCTCTTTCAATTTTCTCTCTGTCTGCATGTATTATCCTTATGCGCCAATCCCCATTACTTGCCCACGTAGATTCACATATGCCTCAAATGCTGACATTTAATTAATTTGTTTCTTGTTTGATATTCTGAGGCTGGCCACATTGGTGTAACTTACATTCCAGGTAGTGGAGTGGTTTCCCATTACCTTCTCCATAATGTTTTTATTGAGACACCAACTCTAGTTACCTGGCTGTTGAGTCATTGAGAGTTCATTATAGGTAAAAGAAAAGCTGATTATTTTTTTATTTTTTTTATTTCACAGCCATACATACATGTAATCAAAGAGACAGAGCAGAGGGTTTTCCAAACTGTTGGCGAGGAAATTGTCTTTCAATCAAATTGTGTGTACATTAAATGGCACAGACACATAAGTCACTCAACACACACATACACATACACATTACAAAGGCCCATGCAAAATCACATGCAGACAGTTTGTGATGGACTGAAAATCAACTCTTCTTTAATTGTGACACTATTTAGCTATGGTAATTAATTAACTAATTAACCATAAAAATTAAACAAGAAATACTGAGAACAGCGATGACCACCAATTGACTGGGACATAGGTTGGTGGTAGTGACTAAGAGTCAACCCCAAAACACTGGTAGGAGAAATATCACAGTTTTGCACCATGAATTGGAGTTGACCACAGGCCGACAACTCAGTGTCACATCCAACCCTGAACTGACCAGTGTTACATAATAATATATATTTATAGGCAATATCTTTCAAGCCTGTTTATAATGCTAAAATTTCAAGAAAATATAATTCTGTCAATAAACTTCTACAAAATTAAGGAATTCAATTTAAACTAAAGAAAGTTTTCTTTCACAAAATAAGTTTCATCTGTTGGTTGAGAGATATGATTGCTGAAGTGGTAAAGATAAAATTTTATCAAATTTACTAAATAAAAAAAACTGAATGGCTTTGATCTGTGTTATGGTAATTTACCCACACATGCATGGACACTCCCAGCTATAAATAGGAGCAGGTACTGCCTTTTGGAGAGAGAAGTTTCTTGCAGTCAGCTCTGACAGTCAGGCTGAACAGTCTTGCTGTAACACTCATTTGTATATGTTTGTATTACAGTTTCTGTTGTTTAACTCATTTCCACTCTTTGTACCTTTATTTCTGGCCCTAACAAGGCCACAACAATCTGAAAATTACTTTTTGGATCAAAACTGAATAATATTAAACTAGAGAAAATATTATAAATAAAACTCTAAGATATTTATTTGTTTTTAAAAAAAATATAGCTTAGGAAAACAAGTAATTTTAAAAGCATTATTTCACACTAAAAGGATTTTTCAGTACAGGTGTGTATTAAAATATATTCAAGAATTTGGAATACCTTTTTTCTGTTAAAAATATTTTATAAACAATTTGAGCTCCTTATTTAAATGATTAAAAAAAATTACATTTTCATTTTAAAATATCAACAGAAGTCTTGCATTAGCATATGACCAAAATAAAACAAATTTCAAATTGATTATGATTTCTACAAAATCTTGTTTGTATTTTTTAATTCTTTCTCAAGTCCCATTTAGAGATATAAAGTAAGATGGCATCTACTTTCTACTTCAACACACTTACAAAAAAGCCAAAGAAGACAAACCAAAATACTACAAGTTAATCTTCAAAGAAAGGATCTACTTTGTCTAACAAGTACCTTTATGATCTAACATTTCTCTAAGAAATTTTTTCTTAGTCTACAACCATTCTGTAATTCTCTGTACTTCTGTTTTAGTATCTACTGAAACCCTAGGAATATTCTGTAAAATCAAAAACAAATTTTCAAAATAAATCCGGAATCAGTTTATAGAAACAATCCAGAATCAGTTTTGAAACAAAAAAAAAAAAGAATTAAAATTAAAATATTAGAGACAATACAATGAGGATTCATTTATTTTGAATCACATAAGGAATACAGAATTATAAAGGCCTTTTAATAAAACAAAAATTATTACCCTAAAATCATAATAAACCTAAAAGAATTAGCATATATATTTCTGCAAGGAATATCTATTTTTGTATAAAATATATTTTCTGTTTATTAGAAAAAATTAAAAATAGACACCATTTTACTGAAGCATGATAATATTTCACTTTTAAAACTTGAAGCATTTCAAAAGTTGCAAAATACATATTTTTCTACAAATAGAAAGCCTACTAAAATAAGCAACAAAAAGGATTTTAAATGTAACTTAACTCATCTATGTAATATTTACATAAAAAAAACTTCTCTATTGAATTTGGTTAGCTAATCTATGCCTTTAATTCACTGCTACTAAGTTATTTTATTAGATTTTGCATGATTTTTTTTCACTTTTTACCTTTTTCTTTATTTAATAAAAAGTATTTAACTTTTGACTAATGTTTCTTTCCTAATATTTATGTAGAACCTAAAATTTTCTTAACATAGTGCAAAAGATAGGCCTTAGAATTGTTCCATCACTCTAATAATTCCATAATTAAAATAGTGATATATAATCCAAGTTTTTCTAAAGTTATTTTTCATAAGTGTTTGGAGAACTGATCTAGAAAGTTTCCTGGAAATGGTTGAAAACATTATTTGTAAAAAAGAAACAAAAAAACACAGTCCAAATGAAAGCACAACTGTATATGCAGCAGATTCAACATGGCAATTTCTTTTTCCTCTTCAGAAGACCTTAAAAATTAGCACAAAAGTAAATCTAAATATAATTGTTTTGACCTGTTATACAATCATACTAGCTAAAACCATTACCAAACATGTGTAAAAAGGATTGCCATAAATAATGAAGTGAACAGATTGATTTTCTAATTAGTAAGTCAGTATAAAAATGTTTGGTGCAAGTTCAGGCTTATAGAGATAGATATTTAGGCTCCATAACTACATATGTCATTCCATAAATATACACAATATTTTTGCAATTCAAAGGGCATAAATACCTATTTAAAAGATTGTTGGCTTAACATGCATTTCTAGATATTACTCACAATTTTGGGGGGTAATTTTATTTCAGTGAAACCAATTTTAACACAGTAGAAGAACATCAAGAGGGTGGGGAGGTAAAATTTGAACTAAAAGTTTTACATGTTTTTCTCATGAAGCATTTCAACTAATTTTATGAAACCTAGTGCATTTTATTATCATAACCTTGCATAATAATTACCTACATTTTTTTCAGATAATTGTGTAAGGAATGAGTGTTGAGGAAAGCAAATGTCAAAGGGTGTGTGATGAGATAAATGCACATTTTCATCCACAGAAGATTTCAAGCATAGATGGATTATCCCTACGGACAGTTTTTAATGTGAAGAAGAGAATGACTCTGAGGGAAACTATTCAGAGAAAGCCTGAAAGTGGCAGAATCAACAAAAAGCACAATAATGATTCCATCAACATTCTCAAATCCAAAGTCTCAAATGACCAAATGAAATCCTTGAGAAAATTAGCAACTGAACTTAAAGTGGATGGTAAGACTATCAGAACAGCAGTGAAAGATGACCTAAAACTAAAATCTTACACAAGAACACAAAAACATTTGCTGGCATGACCCATAAAGGCCAGAAGATTGGAAAGATGCATAAAAGTTCTTATCTTAAAAGAAACAAAAGTCCACTGTGAAAATTTTCTCAGATGGAAAGATCTTTACTGTTGATACTGTTCTGAATCGCAGAAATGACAGATATATTGCACACACAAAAGTTCATGTCAAGGACACTTTCAGAATGAAGCATCCAGCACAAGTTATGGTCTTTGGAGTTGTTGCCTCCATCGGGGAAAAAATGCCTATCAAATTTTAAAAACCTGGTAAAAAAGTTAATACTGATGCCTATTACAAGATACAATGCATTACCATGGCTCAAAGCCAACTACCCAGAGGGAAACTATGTATGGACTCAGGATGGTGCTTCTGCCCATGCAGCCAAAAAAGTATAGAATTACTGCAAATCCAATTTTGCCAATTTCTGGCCATCACACTTCTGGCCCTTTTCCAGCCAAGATCTCAACCCTATAGATTATGTTCTTTGGAGCATTTTAAAACATGCTACAATGGAACCTCTCATCCAAACGTTAATGCTCTTATATATACCATCAGAGAAGAATGGGACAAGATGTCCTCTGTTTTTTGCAGAAGAGTTGTAGAAGTTTCAAGGGGCATGTGGAGGCAGTAATTGAGAAACAAAGAGGATATTTAAAATAAAATGTTTCTTTCGTTTTGTATTTGTATGTTGGAAGCATTCATATTTCTTTAAATAAACTAATTAATCAACTATAAGGCTTTTTATTTCAATACCAGATTTATGCAAGTTTTGCCTCTCCACCCTGTATAGATTTACTTATATGAAAAAGATGAAAATCTCTTCTCAGTAACAATGAATAAAATTACAGATTTACAATTAATGATCAAAAACCTTAAAGACACAGTCAAAAAGGGCTAATTTTATTTATATTGCTTACAGCATATACAGGGTGCGATGGGTAAATTGTCACCATTTTATATTTTTAATTTCATACATGCACGTAGTTTGTTTTTGATTTTGTCAACTGCACAGTATAGTAGGGTCAGTTGGGCACCGTGTGTGAGAAAACAAGCACCATAACACTATTTACTCTGCCAGAAATTTTGGAAATGGCATGCTGTACTGCTTGGCATTTGCACCGGAAGCTCCAATACAAAATTTTCAAAGTGTTTGTGTACAGAGGATTCAGAAAGTGTTGGATGAGTCTAATGGTGATTACAAAGATGCTTGGAGTGATCACTAATGAAGGTGATGTCATGCCTCCATTCATCTTCCCACAGGGCCTAAGACTCAACACAGAGGCCTACATAAAATACCTTAAGGAGGTAGTACTGCTCTGGGTCAAGAGGGTGGCTGCAGGAAGAGCCTATGTCTGGCAACAAGAGTCTGCACCATACCACACAAGCAGCAGAACCCAGTCATGGATGTGAGACAATTTTTACAACCACATCACCCCTTAAATCTAGCCACCTAACTCCTTAGACTGCAACCAACTTGATTATTATGTGTGGGGCACAGTTGAGCGAGAGATCAACAAAACTCCTTGTAACACCAAAGATGAAGTGAAGGCAAGAACTACAACAGCATTTACCAACTTAAACAAGGAGACTGTCCAGAAGAGATGCAGGAGATTCCAAAGTTGTCTAGAAGCTGCGGTTGAAGCCAATGGCGATTTTATTGAATAAATTTACTCTTTACTATTTCAAGATATTTTTGTGTAATTTTAATAAATATATCTGTTAAAATAGAAGTGTTAGTGTTAATTTGATTCTTCTGCAAGTTAGACGACAATTTATGCATCGCATTCTGTATAGTGTTTGTCAATATATAATTATGTGCAAATTTACTGTTTATATATTCAACTTTTAAATAATGTTAAAAATATCATTTCAAATTAAAGGATCTATAAAATATGTAACTTAAAAACAAATGAATCTGTTTCAAATATGTTTTGCAGCCAAAAACAAATACAACTTCTTTAAAACTAAACAAGAAAAAAGAAAGCAACAATACAAAACAGAAAGAAATAATTTTTTAAATTCTGATGTTATGTTTCTTTGACATTTTCTGATTAACTTAATTTACTTTTTTAGGTAGCTTTTTTTTAGTTGATTTATTGCTAGAACTGAAAACAAAGTTTCTTTAAACAAAACATGAATTCAAATCTCATTCCTTGGTTAAAAAAAGAAATAAAAAACTGAAGTAATTAAAAAATAAAAATGTGAAATAAAATAAGAAATGTTTAAATTCTTTTTAAATTTTGTCAATCACAATTTGAATAATACTTTTTACAAAAAGTTTCTATATTTTATTTCAGATTCCCATCATCAAATACTTAACTCCATTTAAGGAAAAATAATTTTAAAACAACAGATACAAAAAAATCTGTAAAGAATTGAATCCATTAATGCCCACCATGCATTAATGTATTGTTAGTAGAAACCTATAATAAATATAGGATATTTCTATTTCAAAACCTATAATTATTAGCAGATTTTTATTTTTAGAATGCCAAATTTAACAGTGGGCATTTTACAGTTAAACACATCAAAATACATACTCTTATTTGGTGTATGCAAAAGTTTCCAGCAATAAAAGATTTCAATTATGTATTCAATTTCTAGTTTTCAAAAATATTTAGCTGGTAACCTTTGCACACACAGAATAGAAAAACTTGAGTATATACATATTCAAGATTGTATAATAAAATATTTTCATAGATTATTATAAAAAAACAAAAAAAGATTTATTTACCATTTTTTGTTTTGTTTCTTGAAAGAAAGCATGAATTTGCAGTGAACACCGGTTAAAATTATCAATGACTTGTTTACACAGAGTTCCTCGATTACAATGCTCAGCTTTATCCATAAAAATGCCTTCCAGACGATCAATGCAAACATAGTGGAAGAGAACACTGTTAACATCCTTCACACACCTGACAAAGGAAACAAATTCACATAAATATTGACTCACAAATCAATGAGCATTTCAATAAAATCAAATTATTCATTCAGTCTTTTTATGTACAATATTTCTATAGAAAAAAATGTCTTTATAAAATGAAAAAGAAAAAAAAATCTCTCTCCTTCCTCACTCCAATATTTACAAGAATTAATTCTCTTTTCCTTGTGTCTTTGCATTTCTGTAATAGAAGAGATTTAGTTCAGGCCAAATATGGTTAGAGTCATTGAAGAGGAAAGTTGGCACTGTCAGAGAAATAGTGAAAAGTAAAGCTTCTTTAACCAAATTTTTTTTCGCCACATCTCCTTTTTTTTGTTCTTTTTAGCATCAACAATGTCAACTATAGAAAATGCCCAACAATGCATGAATTAAATAAAATAGTAACTGAAAAAAGAGGTAAAGATTAAAAATTAAAGAACAATATTGAATTAAATCTGAAGTAATGAACAGAAAATATAAATGATACTTAGCATTTCTTCTGTAAGTTTTCAATAAATAAACTAACAATTCAGATGATTTTTATTTCCTGACAACTTATAAAATAAAGAAACTATTCATTTTAATGATTGTCATTGTAAGTTTCTATTTACATTTTTATATTTCTCTGCTTCTAAAGACTTTTTTCAAGCTTTATTTACTTGAAATTTTAATATATAAATAACAACAGGTCAAGGTAGATGTGTGTTTTTGTGTGTGTGTGTGTGTAGCATTTTTTAAAGAGTGACCGGCAAGCAAACAGTAAAAGTATTTTAGTGGCTACCCATGTTTGAGTAGATGCTCCATTTACTTATTAAATAGTATAGACAAAAAATAAATAAATATACTGTTTAATAAATAAAAAGAGTATCTACTCAAATATGGGTATCCACTAAAATAACATTTAAATTAATCTGATATATAAATGAATTAAAGAATAAAAACTAAGAAGCAATTCAGCTTACTCATGACAAATTTTATCTTTAGGATTGTTGGGCTGCCCAATCCTATAGGTAGAATTTAAGTTGAGTGTAAGCCAGAGCAGACTATATTTCTGTGACCTGCGGGGAATCATTTTTGTAACTGATATTTTCCTCAAATTTTAATCCAAAGGGTGGATGAGCTTCTTATAGCCAACAATGGCCAACATGTATATATATATTTAGTAGGAGTAGATAGATTTGCCAACCATCCGTTTCACACTCCTCCCAGTTTTTGAACAGGAGTTGAGGTTTATCCTTTATTTCCTGTTTAAGCTTGTTTGAAATTAGGATGGGGTCTCCAGCTTTGAATGGCAACCTTCCTAGAGATGGTGTCTCAATAAAAACACTTGGACTTGTAAAAGCTTGCCTCAAATTATTATGTGAGACACTATGAGAGAGGACCCACCTTATTATGTGCAAGATTAATCCTAGTCCTGGGTCCTGCCTCAACAAAAAAAGTACAGCTTTTATTTTTTTTTTTTAAATCAGTATCACCCCCAAGCAAGGCAGTACAGCCACTATCATGCAAGGGGTTACAAAGTGTGGAGGAATTAGGAGCAGAAGCATTAGTAATGAGGAGAAAGAAAAGAGCAATCAGGAGGTAATAAATTTAAATTTTTCATTCCATTCTTTTGCAGTCACAGTATTGAGCTTGACCTAACTATCAAGTGTAAAGAGTTAATTTTAAGGTCACCAAGGTTTATTTCTAGGTCTTCTCCAATAATGGAAAGACAACTCAACCTGTCCACTACCAATTACACCTTACAATACTTTGTAACAATGTCTTCATCTCTTTTTTAATTTTACAAGAAATAAAGGATAACTCATATTAGGGAAAGCAGAAATAAGTATCAATTTTTTTTTAATACATTTAAAAAACAAAAAAAAACAGTCTTCATAATGACATTATAGAAATGATTACAACTTATTGGAGATGGAGTAGTGATTGAGATGCAATACAACTGTGACATGAGGAAATGGAAAGTATTTTTTTTTTGCATAAGGTGAGAAGAAATAAACTTGGTGATTCATACTGACGTGGAGTGGGGGTAGCTGAGCAGATACATACGCAACTGAAAATGAGGATTTTTTTTTCATGAGAGGAGAAATAGATTTGATCTCATATTGATGTGTAGGGGTTGAAATACTACTAAAACAAACAGAAAACCATGTTAGAAAGAGTTATGAGTGAAGATAAACTGAAATTTCAAGGAAGAAGAAGTGTTTTTGGTCTACTACACAACTGAAACAAAAAAAAATAGCAACAATGCCAAAGAAATAGAAAATTCATGAAGAGAACTGAACTTTTCAACTGGGAATATTTCTATTTTGTGACAGAGGTAAATAGGGTTTCCAACTTTCCCACAAAATGGAGGATTGATAGCCTTCTTTAAAAATTATGCGTAAATGTTGTTTTTATAAGATTTACTTAATGGACACAAACAGCTGACCCTCCTCTCTCTCTCTCATTGCAAAACTGATTTAACTCAGCATTGTGGGATTATGAACCCCTGGTTGGTAGCCCGTCCACAGGACTTGTGGCCCCCTGCCCCTCAGCACATAATGGTTCATTTGTGTCCTTGAGTTTGAGACCAGTTGTGTAAGCTGAACTGCTTAATTTTATTTTTAATTTGTTCTTATGCTGTGCTCTTATACATTTAATTTTTTAAGCTTGCTTAGAATTTCTTCTGGGCAGTGTGGCTAGTCTACGCCAGGTCTGTAATTTAAATTCTTTTGGAATTATAAATATTTATATGTGTGTGTATACACATAACTTTAGAACCTTTTTATTTAAAAAAAAGCATTTATTTTAAACAATAAACATAATCTTCCTTGTCAATGCACTTAATTTAGTGGTAAATCCCATAGACTGAACATTATAGTGAAAATATCAGCTCAAAATTCAGCCCACAATGTCATGTCAGGCTATGAACTAATTGATCCACCTTCATATACACTAACAGAGCAAATGTACAGGTTACATAATGAAAATAAATGACTTTTATAAAAATGGATTTCAAAACATCACATAATAAATTGACTTTTTTCATAATTTATATCAACCTTAGTGGTTTTAAGAATTTTTTTAAATATTAGAGATAAAAATATTAATAAGAGAGGAAAATATAGAGAAACATTTAATTAAATTCTATGAATTCCCTGACAACAAGTTTTGGTCATCTTTTAATGACATACACAAAAAAATTAGTTTTACAAATCATTTTCAGTCAATTATTTCAAATAAGAAATATTGTCATACTTTTTTTTTTTTTTAAACTTTTCTTGTTTATGTAAAAATGTTTGTTTGGTTCCACTGAATGTAATGATTGCATATATGTTTGTGACCAATCACTTTGTTAATAATTCCAAATCTGTACAAAAAAATCTCTTGGAAAAAGACATGCATCCATTTTCCTCTAACTATTGGTCAGTTCCAAGTTCTCTTGTCAGTTTAGGAGAAGGAAAATTGAATTCAAACTGTCTGGTAGGTATTGCTAGGAAAAAAGAATGCCAAATAGAAAACATTACAGAAATCTGATGATTGAGCAAATTGCATTGGTTTATCCTTTCCTCTAGAGAAAACAAGTGTAGAAGATCTTGATGTATGAGTAGCCCTTCATAGCCCTTGCCCTACATGCCACTGTGACAAACAGGAAAATCACCTACCCTCAAAAAAGAGGGGGTGTACTTTGCACAGTTTAAAAAAAAAAAAAAGAAAAAAAAACAAATCCTCAATAATTACTGATTTAAGCAAACTTCACATATGGTAATTTTTTTTTATCCTCCCCTACTATCATGATCAATCACAAAATTTACCTCTTTAATAAAAGCGAATGATTTTCATGACAAGGTGAGATTTTTGTGGGGTTCAATAGCAAGAGTGAGTTTGCTGTATTAGGATCTCTAAGTTGGATATTTTGGCCCTATTTTTTCACTTTGCCTCTTGGACGTTTCAAGTTGAACTTCTGATTTTTGGTTATACTACATGTATTTTTTGCCTTTTGAATTTGTGATACTGGATTTAAATACAGAGATTTTCACTACCCTCGTGGCCTTGGACATTTGTTAACAGATATGTTGTGAATTATAATATTTATTGTAATGTTTTATTTAGTGAATTTTTTGTATGTATACATTTAGGAAAAACCGAATTATTTTGGACGGGACTCATTATTGGTTATAAAAGATGAGCACTTGGACTAATCAGGAGTCCTAGCAAGTAGTCAAAACTGATGGCCATGCTACTCTAGTGGAAGTAAGTTGACAACTACTTATCATGCTGCAGATATTAAATAAAAAGACAAAACCCCTAAGATGGATGGATGTTGATGCAACACAGAATGCAAATTGAACAAAGTTTTTCACTACTCAATATTTGCATCAATGTTTAATTCTATTGAAATGTACCTAAATGACATTAAAGATTTGGATTGAATTGGTTTCATTCCAATGAGTCATAATTCAGAAATAGGATTAATTGCTTTTGTTAATTTAGAAATGTAATTTAAAATTATCTAATATTCCACAAGAATAAGACCATGAAGTAAATTAATAGTTTGTTCCTTTTTAAATTGAATTTTTTTCAACCATCAATATTTGTACAATAAGTTCATTTATTACATTATACTAATAAATACAAGTATAAAAGTAGCAATATATAATGAAACTAGATTTATTAAAATAGAAGCTGCTTTACAATTCTATTTTGGACATTTTAAGATCGCACCCACCACCTAATTCTTTGTCGGTTTATGATTATAGTTGACCGCACTCTGAATAAAGGGAAAGCACTCGTATCTGTCAATTCGATTATATTATAGAATTATGAGAATATAAATAAATCTGCCCTTTTATCATTCCAGAAAAAAAATAAGTCACAATATTTATCATTTATCACTCACACTGCTTAAATTCAGAATAATAATTTAAAGCAATTTTTTTTCTAGTTTAAATGCAGGATAATTATTTATATATTAATTTCTATAATTCTGTTTTTTCTCACTAGGTATACTGACCTTGTAAGCATTTCTAAATGATAAGGTATGAGGTCAAAGTGTCTGGATTAACTGAACTTTAATCCAATACATTGAGAAAACATTCAAATTAAGACACAGAATCCTTTTTTTCTTAATATTTGCCTGGTAGATAAACTTAAAATAAGTTAAGAAAGACTTAAGAAAACATTTCCAAGATATATGTAACACTGTTTTTACTCTCTGCAAGATCATGTGATCAAAATGTGTATCTTGTGTCACACATGGCTACACTCATATCTATTTTCAATCTATAAAGATTAAAGTTGTCATTATAAAGTTAATGTCTTTTGTTTATTTCTAAGTTTCTGAATTACTCACTATCAAATAATTGATGCAAATCTGAAAGGAAAATGAAATTATCATCCTTCTACGAGGCACTTTTTGGGCCAAACTAACATTTTTTTAACAAATGAGGTTTCATATTGTTAATAATATTTCTATTTTGTCATCAATCAATAAAACCAATCAAAATTATAATTCTTTTTTTAATTCTCCCCCCACCCAGGTGAAAAGTAGTAAGTTATCTACTTTCATTAAAATATTCTCAATGTGCATTTAAAATAGTATAATTTTCTTCATTATAATTCCATCATGAAAAAGATAAGAGTAAACATAAAAATTCAAATAATAAATATATTTAAGATATTATTAAAATATGGTAAATCTATATTTGAAATGCTTAAATTATTTTTGTTTTTCTAAAGAAGAGGATAAATGATGAAGTCTCTACACATAAGATATTTTTTGTAATTCTCAGAAGTTAAAAATGTGGGTCATATGAAAATACAAAAAATTAATCTATTTTTTGTACTAACAGACTTATTATTTTCTTAATGTGTGAAAGTTAACTAAAAATGAAGTTTAACGACATTTAAACTTTCAAAAAGCTTTTAAAATGAATAGTAAAATGTTTATAAAAGGAATGTTACCTATTGTAGTTGTGTTGGTCAGCTTTAGAGACACTGCTAAGGCTCTGAGTAAGGCCACTCATATCGAAAAGTCCATTCAAAGAAGGAAATTTACCCTAAAAAGAAAAATATCATAAAGTTATTTAAATGCTTTTAAAACTGTTTTTTCAATAACAAAAACCAAACTTTGCACTGCAGACATGGAATCCATTTGGGAAAATTATTTCTTCTGTTACTTTGCTTTCTTTCTTTTGGATTATCTCTTTGTATACATCTTGTAGTTTTTCACTACAATGTAGACGAACATTCTCCTAAGATTTATGATCTTACATAGAAATTTAAAGGGCTATTTTACCACAGCTGAGCCTAACTGAACTTAAATAAAGTCTGGGTCAAAGGTCAGCCAGCCAGCAATAAACGTTTAGAACAAGTTGTCGTCAGCTTGTAATAACCCACCACTTCCAGATAAGAGCAAAAAGTGAAAAAAACGGGTCAACATTGGTAGGGCTTGATATAGGGTTTGTTTTTTGTTTGTTTTTTTGTTTTTTCAAACCTATGTTTGAACAATGGCTTGATGTGTTTTGTTTTGTTTTTAACACCCTGTGACCCGGGTGATGGCAACAATACTGTTATGATGTTGATTTGGGGTTAGTAGAGACAAACGCCAAATAACACGTAACAATAAAAAGGGTTTTAATAGGTTGGTAAAAAGGTACAGAAATCGCCTGAGTAGTCAATAACTAGCTCAGCTAAGAACTTCTATGTCTATCTGTCTTCCCCCATGTCAACTGACATGCCACTATTTAAAGTTTTTGTTCACAGGCGCAGACAAGTTCATCTTCAAGAGGAGTGGTAGGTTTCTGACACAACAAACACTTAGCAAACGACATTGTCTTTTTTGGCACTTGTCTTTTGTATTTCCTATCCCCAGACCATTTAGCCGTTCCTTTTATTCTATGATGTTCACACCAAATTAAGAAGAAATGGACAAAGTTTGAACTATATTATTTTGAAGTGAAAATAAATAATTTTCATAAAAAAAAAAAGGTGATTTTTCTCAGAAAATTGGGCATAATTTCTTAATGCTAACCGCCGAGTGAAATTTTCTTCAGCCAAATCGAAGATTAATTACCAATGAATAATTCTATGTGCAAACAATAGCTGTCTGGATCCTATGACGTCGCCCAAAAAGGTCCAGAAGTTTATTGATTGATCAAAACTTGTTGTGCCTAATTGTGTTTTTCATGGTCAGTTTCCATTATTTCATCTTGATGTTGTCATTTTCGGACAGCCAAGTCATCAAGGATTCAGGAAAACAGTTTGACACAGGTTTGCTTTAAGAACTTTACATTCTATGAGATGTTTAAAATGTTACTGACAAATGGGATTTTTCACCAAATATTTCGTTTACGCGCCATGTTGGATTTGCTCCGAAATTCTCTTTCAACTCAACACCCGATTCCTTTGGAGTACCCACACATGATTTCCCCAATAAGACAAAAATCCTAGTGAGTGATATGTGCATAACCAAGTCACTTGTCTCAGACATCATTTCTAAATTAGACTCCCATAAGGCAAGCAGAGATGACAGTATTCAAGTCATCATCCTAAAGAAATGTGCCACCGAGCTGGCTCCAGTCCTCTCCAAACTCTACAACTATTGCCTTGCTGCTTCCTGCTTTCAAGCTTTTTGGAAAATTATTCAAGGCTTTAATGCTGAAGTAGTTAAGCACCTTACTTCTCACAACCTACTCTCTAACAAACAATATATCTTCTGTTTTGCAAGATTTACTGTTGATGTACTAACAGCCATCACTGAATATGTATATCAAGCTCATCATAATAACAATGAAGTCTGAGCTGTGTCTCTTGATATTTCAAATGTATTTAACAATTTTTTCGCATGCTGGTTTTCTGTGTAAGCTCCAGGGCTACAGTATTACTGGACAACTGTTTGATTTAATCCAATTGTTCCTATCAAATCATAAAATGAAGGTTGTTTTGAATGAGCTTGCTTCCAGATCCTTTCACATGAACATAGGTGTCCTCCAAGGCTCTATCCTGGTTCATATGCTGTTTCTGATCTTCCTGATGTCGTCAATTCCCAAGTAGACATTTATGCAGATGACACTACCATTTACTCCAGTCTCAATAGCAAATCTGTCAGAACTGACAAATTTAACCTGCCCACCGCTCTTGAAAAGGACCTCCAATCTGTGGTTAACTGGTGCAGGAAATGGCTTGTAAATTTTAATGCCTCCAAAACAAAACTGCTCTCATTCAACCACCATAGAGAATCTTTCCTGCCCACCATCAACATGGCTGATGCTAGACTCATGGAAAGCAACACACTGCAGCTTCTTGGCCTCACATTTTCAACTGACTTGAAGTGGAACAACAATATTGAATCAATAGCTGCATCTCCAGCAAGGAAAGTGGGGTCACTGTGTCATGCCAGGTTATTCTCATCAGAATCCATCTTGCACATTTACAAATTCAACCGTGCATTGAATACTGTTGCCATATCTGGTCTGGTGCTTCTGCTACTCATCTCAATGTTTTTGACAAAATCCAAAGAAGGATCTGCAATGTAATCAATCCTGACTTTAGTGTTTTTTTCACTGATGTCACATGGCTTCCCGCCATCTTTTCTACAAATATTTTCATAGCAACTGCTCTGACAAGCTTTTTCCCTGGTCCCCGGACTATATAAAAATTGTTGAAGTAGTAAATGTAACCATCACTTCTACACCAAAAGTTTCTTTTCTTCCACTTCCTGCCTGTGGAACTCTCTTCCATTGCCTTGCTTCCCTGATAACTACAATCTTCATAAATTTAAATGCAATGTCAATCACCATCTTCTATCTTCTTGAACACCTTTCAGCTTTTATCCTTTCCTTGGTTCCCCTTACCCAGTCGATTCTTCCACATTCACTCTCTGTAACCCCCTGCATACCAGTGGCTTTCCCCCTTGCTTGAGGTGAAATGATTAAATATATATATATATATATATATATATATATATATATATATATATATACCCGATGCGATGAGAACGAAAGTAATATATAAATTTCAACGTTCACAGCATTAATCCAAAAGAGGGCTCATACTGACTGCTCTTGTATAGACAACAATAACACAAAAATAAGAAAAAATTCTTAATTTGCTACACCAGGACTCTCAATTAGGTTGTAGATTCCTTATAATTACACTCAATACTTTAAGCCAATCTACATGATATTGTGAATTCCTAATTACAACTTGCATGAAAGCAGTTTCTTCAAATGTTGTCTTACAACCAGCCACAAGTAAAGCAGAGAAATAAGAATGAGTAAGATTTTCTTCAACTTGAATTAATTTTTCAACTTGTCCTTCCTTTCCTAACAAAAGAACACAGATATTTATAGTTTTTAAAATGGCTGAATGAAACAGGAAGAGTTTTTTCCAACATTTAACTATTATACTTTGCATTGTCCAGAAAAGTGTTCAAACAAATATGATACCAATGTTTTTAACAATAACCTTGTGAAAAATTATTATCACTCAATTCTTGTCTTTTGGGGGTGATAATAAAAATCTTACAATAAAATGATTTTGTTTTTCCCCCTGGGGCGTCTCATTTATAAAATTTGGATACCATGTCAATGATTCACAAAATTTAGTTAAAATAAATTCCGGTATCTTGTAAAACCATTACTGAAAAAACAAAACACACACCAATTACTTTCAAATAGAGAATCTGAAAATTGTTTTAAATGCCACTCAACCAAAGCCACAAATCTAAAAATGATAAATCAACTTACTTTTTCTGTACTGTTTCCACTTGCACAGGAGTCATTAGAACCATATGATCTCTGACTTCCCTGATGTGCAAGAAATTCATCAACTCTACCAGTAAGGTAGCCATCTTCAGAAGCTAAAAAAATAATAATTAAAACCATTTTAAAATCTTGTTCTTATTTGTTGCTTTATTGACTGCATTTTAAATGAAGACATGATCATATTTTTATCAGACCTCAATTTGCTTATTATCAAAAATAAACTCACAAGTCATTAATGACTGATTACCAAATAAAACTAATTTATTTTTATTACTAGGCAACTATTTGGGGGTGCTAGAACCTACTGACCAAACTTAAGATTTGGTGGAGGGGGAACCTTTCTTAAGTGGGTTAAGAATTTTTCAGCAGATCCCATATTTCAAACTGCTCGCCTGATAAAAAATTGAAATGCTTCATTAACACTCTACATTTGGTTAAATATTTACAAGAATCCATTTTTCACAAAAGCAATATTTAAAATAATTAAATAAACTCAATATAATTTCTGTAAGCTTGTATTTTGTATTGTTTTTTTGAGTAATTTCTTTGTTTTTCAAGAATTTTCTATAAATTTTTTATTAAAACTAATTCTTGTGTAAACGATCCTCTTGAAAAGGAATGTTTAGTAGACAACAAAAATATAGAAGTTACCTTATACACAACTGTTAATAATATAGAATATCAGTCAGTCAGTTATGTGCCATGCATGATTCACACTTAGGCAATCATGTATCTTTCGATACATGACTGACGAGGTAGATTTTTTCCTGCAGTAGGTTGCCATTTCTTTCTGCAGCAGACTAGTTGTGATCTGATGCTATAGAACCCGGTCTGTCCTGCTATTTACCCATAGCTGGGGGAGAAGAAGAGGATTCATACCTTTCTCAAGAGTATTAGCACATAAGTGAATGTAATGGATTTGACTGGAATTTGAACTCGGTTCTCAGATTCCTCAATCCGAGCTGCTATTCATTACTCCACCATGCCTCCAAAGGAATTTGTTTTGATATCAAAGTGTATTCTGTTGTAACAGAATTAGGTCAAAATAGAATTAAAACAAGATGGATTTGCACCAAAAAAAGATATGAAGGATGGAATTATCATGAAGACAAGACTGGTCACAAAAGGGTTTCAAGACAGAGATTCAGAATTGTTTAGAAGTGACTTGTCTACTTGATACTCATTTGATAGATATCAAGACAACCTTTCTACAAGGAAAACAATTTGAAAAAACAATTTTTCCAGAACCTTCTCCACAAGCTGAAGCTCCTGAAGGTTAGATACGGAGGTTAAATGTGTATACAGACTGAATGATGTTTCTTGTCTATGGTATTTAACAGTTAAAGAGATAATGAAACTGAGAGTGTGCCCATCTAAGTATAATCAAGCAGTCTTTACATGGTATTATGAGAATAAGATTAATGGAATCATATCAACTCATATGGATGACTTCTGGGTGCACATTGAATTCCTTTTCAAGAGAATCATTTCATAAAAGTTAACAGTTACCAGACTTGTCTCATACAAGAGCTGGGAAACGGGAAACAATATGTATTCAAAATTGTACTTATGAGTCACAATAACCCTGGGAATAGTACACTTCTAGGACAAACTATTGGTGCCACTGTCTTGGATTTGGGTTGCTGCAGGTCGGTGTGGTTTGGCTTGTTATAATTGTTACCTAGATATTTTACATTAAGATTTGGAAATGTCCAGGACTCAAAGTGAAGCTACCCTGTATATTAGCAGGAAAAAAATGTTGAAATTATTGCTGATGTAAAAGAGTCTGAAATACCTCTTTTATTGAGGAAAGATGCTGCAAAGAAATCTAATAATGTTCTGGGTTTTAAAAGATAAATGTTTAAGTTGTGATGTCTATACCCAGTATAGATTTCAGAGGAAAAGTTTTTTTTCTTTTCTCTGAACAAATTATTAAAATCTTTTATGGAAAAGTGCGAGCTCATTTTTAATTAGCAGACGAGATAGAGTAATTCAATAATATTTGTTAGCCAAGGGTGAAGAGTTCAATCCTTGGGAGAATTAGCATTAATTATTGCCATAATATTCATCTGAAAGGTTAACAGCTCTCCCCCTTATCTCTTTTCATGTAGACAAGAGTGGCAGCTTATTTATCACACTTTCCACATTAATATATAATCTTTTTGGAAAACAGATTCTGGGCTCCCATACATGGGCTCCCATATCTTGTTTAAGGAGACATAAAAATTCTAGAAGATATTTTCTGTAAAAAAAAAAAATAAAAAAATAATAATATAGCTGTAACTAATAAATACCATTCTTGAGAAGCATCATTCAGTCTGTATATGCATTTATTTAATTTCCATGTATAACTTTCAGGAACTTCAGCTTCTGGAGAAAGTTCTAGAAAGACTTTCAACTTGTTTTCCTTGCAGAAAAGCTGTCTTGATATCCATCAAATGACATGTCCACATTAAAGCTGCAATGATGATCAAGATAATATTTTTTTTTGAGAATGTAAGCAAGTCACTTCTAACCAATTCCAAGTCTCTGTCTTGAAACCCTTTTACAGTCTTGCCTTGATTATAATTCCATCCTTTTTCTTTTTTTTTTGTGCAAATCCATCTTGCTTCAATTTTATTTTGACTCAAGACTAGTACAACAGAATATATTTTGTCATCAGCCCAGCTATGTAATTCCTTCTTTTTTACTTCACCATATTCTACATTTTTAACTGTTGGAAATAAGGTAACTACTTTGATGTCATTGTCTACTGAAAATTCCCTTGCAAGAGGATCATTTACAAAAGTCTACCTATAATTTATTTTTTCCTTTTCATAGGCAAGCAATGTCTTTCCATTCTACTACATTCTTCTTAAAGCTGAGTCAAAACAAATATTCACCCTCAACATATATAATTATAATATTTTTGTTTTTGCCAGTAATCTTTCCAGCATGACTGACAACTTTCATCTCCTTCCAAGAAGGATCATTATCTGATGACACATTGCCTGTTATCTCTTGCCCTGTTATTGGTAAAATTACATTTTCCTAACAGATTTTTTCTTTGACAGATATCTAACCTTATTTGGCTCTTGACTAATACTCAATTCATCATTTTTCACATTTTTCACTCATAGAAAAACTAATATTATTTGTTTCATCTGACAAGCTATCATTGGCAGCATCTTCAAAATCTGTACACAGACTATTTTGGTCTACCAAAGAATCATCTTCCAATTTTTCCATGTTGGACTGACTCTTCAGTTGTTAGTCTATTCAATTCTTCAACTAAATCATTATTATACATTTTCAGACAACAGGAATGGACTAACATAGTTTCTTCCAAGCTTCACCAAAACTCTCTTGTTTTCAGTTCCTATAACTTTTCCTAGTCCCATCCAATGATTTGATTCATAGCTCTTGAAATATAAATTTCTATATTTAAGGGCTGCACAGGGTTTCACCTTTTGGCACAAAGCTTTTCTGATCTTTTCAAATGATTCTGCCTGCATGAAAGACTTTCTTGCTGCATGCATATCATTTCAAGTTGTTAGCTACCGCTTCACCTGATATAACAGAGCCTCTAAATCTGGGTGTGTCTATTTATGAAAATGGAAGGCATGTCAGAAAATATCCAAACATTTATTGTATTTGGATATAATCCTAAAGTGTGGACTTTTTTAATTAGCAGGTGGGATAGGGTGATTCAATAATATTTGTTAGTCAAGAATAAAGAATTCAGTTCTTGGGAGGATTAACAATCTCCATAATAGTCATTGGAAAGGTAAGAAGAGCATAATTAAAAAAATAACTTCAGTACTTTGCAATAAAATAAAATTAAATATTTAAAAGGAAGCAAATAAAAATAAATTTAACTTTTGGTGTCAAATTTTATTTTTCAGTATCAAAGTGTACTGGATACTTGTAACATCTTACTGCATTTACAACTCTTATCTAAACTACAGATAAAGTTTAACTAATAAAGTTTTTAATGTTGCAATCTGTACTTTTCAAACCATAACCATTCCCAAAGTGTTATAAGAAAATTCATATAGTCTCTCTTAAAAATACTGAAATGTGATATGATGCACAGTTTCATTAATAATCTGAAATCATTTTCTATAAAATGGAATGGAATAAATATTGATTATATACATTCTCCCCACATAAAAGGTAGTATTAGAATGGGGCGTGGATCTGAAGAAGTATGTTACATGGGCATTAGAGTTAGGCAACAATAAAAATAAAATTCTTTTTGCAATACATCTAGTCTTATTACAAAGATTGTTGCATTACTGACATTCTTATCAAGATTTTAACAATTTACAATGATTTTTAAAATATGAGTGAGGTCAAAATTGTAAAATGAAATTATATTCATTTATATATGATGATAGAAATATAAATTGCATTCAAGTTGTTCACAAATAAATATATTCTAATGCTTTCCTATACATATTTACACATGCTAAGATCACGAGAACAAAAAGCAAAAGAATGGAATTTTTTAATAGATTCGTAAATATTTAAAGGGAAACAACGTCAGAAGTTATTAGACCAAGATACTACACTGCTAATGGAATACAGAGATATACTCAGGTCCTGAACACAGGTGTATGGAAGACTCTGCAACCACTAAGAACTAAGTTAACTTGACTGATTCCTTAATGCAGTTATAGAGCCAAGTAATTGGTATCACAGTACTTTATTATACACAATATTTCTAATGTATATATTATACCATGTCCAGTGGCTTGGATGTCATCTCTGTTTAGCAATTACAATCCGAATTTAATGTTCTGTTGCATTTGTGCTCTTGAAAATGTGATATACAACTGACTGTGAGAGAAAAATAGCTGCTACAGGTAAACCCTCACTTTACCAAAAATTTGCCCTTGTGCTTTATTTGTCATTATCATGTAAAAAAGTCATACAGGAACTTGGATCCTGTTTAACATAAAAGGAAAGTTGGTATCACTGGGGTTCAATTTGATTCTAGGGATGACTACTATAGAGCTTCTATGAATATCACTAACCCAGGCCACCGTTAGACTATTTTCATGAAGTTGTTCTTTCATGCATATTCCGTTACACAAGCCTTGGGGAATTGAAG